CAGAAAAAGATTTCATACTATCAAAAACAAAGGGAAGGAAATTTGCTCCTGAGGATGATTATCGTAGTAATACTCTGCTAGTAGTGTTATAGGCAAATTAATCCAAGGCAAAAATCAGACAAATTTCAAAATTGAAAATAACACTTTTGCTGTTTGTACTGACAAATCTGCTATAAAAACAGATACACATAATGGAGAAACTCAACTTATTAGTAGGTATGTTGTAAGGAAACACATTATGTGACTTTTATGTTGTTGACACAAATATGAAAGTAGGGCAACAACAACAACAACGTGGGTTTTTGTAACTGTCCAAAAGATAATTTTACCTACAACCGTTTTTTTTTATAAAGAAGCCAAATTTTGTTTTTGAGCAGCAACTTTGAAAATCTACTAATTTACAGACAGAATATTCTAAATCTGGGGGTGACAATAGATATTCTTTAAATCACAGGAATTTAAAGAATATCTAGATAAGGCCATTTTCTTAAAAATTCTGTCTTAGCATGCACTAAAAAGGTAAGAACAGACTAAATAAGATTGTGTGAGCTAGGTTATTTCAATCTGGGTAACAAGGTACCAAACTTTTTCTTCATCAAACCCCTGCTTATCATAAGTTAGATTTATAGCAAATGGGATATAATTAATGATGGTTTAACTAATTCATAAGAAACTAAAATTGATATCAACAGAGGAAAGAAAAAATGTCAAAAAAATTGCACTTTTTGTGGAAATATTTTACATTCCTTGGTTTCTAAAGTCATCTGCTATAATCCAGGCAAAATCTCAAAGTTATTAAAGTAGCCAAAAGCAAACCGAAAGAAGATGAAATATTTGTCCAAAAATTCTCAAAAATTCTTTTTTTTTAACATATTTGTCTACAGATGTTGTTTTTGTCTCATCTGCATATTCACATGTAACTAATGAAGAAAAACTCTCAATGATACAGAAATTTTTAAGTATCCTTATTATGAGGATAATTCTTACTTTGAAATAAAGAAACCTGAGATTAGAGATCATTCTATCATTGACAAGAACACTCTTTTACATGAGTTTGTTGGAAAAAACAGCAGGTATACTACTTTTTATAATTTTAATATACACAATATATGGTTTTGTATTCCTGATGTTAAATTTGTAAATCTTCATTATCTTCTTAATTTATAGATCTCTATCACTTTCCAAGCTTCAAGTTTTTTGAGATTTTGATTCAAATATTTAATACATAAATGACTGCTCTGAAAGAAATATTTGTTTAGTTCTTATACATTTTTATAGCTTTAACTATATAAGCTATGCTCACCTTAATCTCTAGTATTCTGTTAGATGTAATGTCATTCCTAATGCATTTTCAAAAAATTGACCATCAATATTTTAAAGTATTAAAAGTATTGATGGGTACTATCCTTTCATTCACACTTCAAAAGTCACTTTGGCTTGGGAATATACTAATGCATCAATTTACCTATTTGTTGTAAAATCAGATTTGAATCCTTTGATCATTCCTTTATGTGATTCTGCTTAGCAACTCTTCACTCTATCACTTTTTTCTTTGTTTTTATTGTGTCTCCTCAAGACAGCACTCTTAGCTCTAATTTCTGATCAAATTGACAATGCCCTTTCTCTTTACCCCTCTGCCATAATTGTTGTTATTGGTGACTTTAAGCTAATCACACTGAATGGCTTGGCTCTAACACCACTGTGGCACTAAAGACTATAACTTCTGCATTTCTCAATCTCTTACTTATATAGTTAACTTTGAATCTAATCAATTACCTTCACTCCTTAATTTGTGTTTTGTCTCTGACTCTAGCTTGTGTTTAGTTTCTCCTTGTTCCCATTTAGGTGGTTCCAACCATGCAATGATCTCAATAAATCTTTTATTTCATACTTCTTCTTCAGACTCACCATATAATTACTTCTACCCTAAAACTGAATAGTATTCTTTTTCTGATTTTCTTTGTGACAGTCCTTGTACTGATTTTTTTTTCTCTCTGCTAATAAATGCGCCTCTTAACTAACCTCCTGGTATGAATGGAAGCTTTCATTCCTCCTCATCAGTTACAAGTCAAGTCTCATTCAACTCTATAGATTTCACCTAGGCAAATAGTATCTATGGTTCCAATTTTTAAAAACTTTGGAGAACAATCTGAGCCCTACTACTATCATATAGACTATTCTTTCTGTTATTAGTAAGGTTTTTGAGTCTTTGATTAAGAAATTTTTAACATTACATCTTGAGTCATATAACTTACTATCAATATTTACAATCAATACAGTTTTCGATCTTCTCACTCTATGGTTGACTTGCTAACTGTTGTGACTGAAAAATCTTATTGTGCATTAAATGGAGGCAATGAGGCTAGGGATATTGCTCTAAACCCTTATCAAAAGCTTTAGATATATCTAAAAATTTCGATAAAGTTGGCATGCTAGTCTTCTCTATTAGCTTGCATCATATGGTGAATCTGGGAAAGTTTTTAGGATTATTAAATGATTTTTTCATCAAAGTCAGCCTTAAAGACCAACACTCTTCTTGATTAGCAGTACTTATCTAGTTTTTATTCCTGAACTTCATCCATTTGGAACTTTTTTTCATCTTCATGTTTTCCTGACTCATACAAACTACAACTTTTCAAGTCTTCTGTCAACCATTTCCTTGCTCTTTATATTCAAAAGACATATTGAAAGTCAGAAAAAAAAAAAAAAAAAAAAATGGTGGTTGCTAAAGAGAATGGAAAAATTGAGGATAAGAAAATGAAAAAAAGCTGCAAATAATGTTTTATTTGAAAATAAGATCTTTTGAAGATAAAAATGGAAATCTCACATAACACTTCTTAAAGGTTTAGAGACCTATATTTGGCATTATGTATATTTCAAACTTTTTTGCATAAAAATGTTGTATTCTTGGGATATCCTACTGTATAGTTATATCTTTTATCTATCACACTTTTTCCGGTTAATTTTTTATCTAAAAAATTTTTTCTGGTTTATCTTTTTCTCTACCTTTACTCAATAAATCAGAACATTTCCAGGATGTATTAAAGTTGTTGTTCAAAAATATTTAAAATTAAGTTTTTGTTCAAAAATATTCAAAAAAAAAATTCTATGATTTCTTGCCATTTTAAGGTATGATAAAATATTTTGTTGATCGTAAATATTATAAAAAGGCTGTAAATTTAATCATGAAACTTGTATTTGTATACAAGAGGGCATATTTTCACACCAGGAGATTTTCACACCAGGAGATTTTCACACAACAGGAGATATAAGAATAAAAGTAAAATCAAGCCTTCCCAGAAACCATATGTGGTTGCACCCCTTGTTTATTCTTGTTCAAAGTAATTTATTTAGATACACTGACCATGACAGTTCACAACTTATAAAGCGTTTTAATAATAAAAAAAGGAACCAATACTAAAAAATGGAAACAAAATTGTGACAAAATATCAAATTTTAATTATATAAACTAAAAAAATTTAATTAAAGAAAGAAAATGAAAAAAAAGAAAAAAAGTTTTTATAAAACTTTTATACAACTTTTCTATTCTTTTGTTTAGGGTGGTTGTTATTTTGAGCCATAAAATTTGATAAAAGTCGAGGAGATATTATAATTGAAACAACAATTTTATAATTTTATAACAACAATTATATGTTTTGATATGCAAATTATTCCCAATTCAAGAACTTTGAAAAACTTTGTTAATTTTTTTCTTTTTATTCATTTTCATGTCTTTTAGCTTTTAAAAATGTTTTTGCTATATTTGACGTTTTTTCTCAATACTTATATAATAGGAAAAACAGAAAATAAATTGCTATTTATTGGTTAAATATATTATTTGATTAATAAACTTTGTAATGACAAAATAAATTAAATAAAAGAACACCATGGTTTCTTTTATAAATGTATTTACAATATTTGTTCTTGTCTGAAATTGTTTCCTTTATATTGTCCAATTTTCAACATTAAGACAAAATACTAGAGATAATAAACATAATTGCTCTGTTTGAAAAAATGTATTTAAAATCTAAAAAAAACGTTTTGAACAGGCTTCTTTTGTTAAATTTTGTTAAAAGAGTCAAGTAAATTAACAATACACTAGCCCACAAGCTTTTAGAACGCTGATAAAAAAGTTTATCAGGAAATAAACTATCGGAATTAAATGCACAATTTAAAAAGTCCAACTAAAGTGCAGACTATTTCGATTGGGGTAGTGAAAACAACCTAATATATTATTTATTATCTTACATGAAAAATTTGTTAAAAAATAAATAATAAAAATTTTACAAATAGCAATTAGTTTTCTTGCTTTACTGTGCATTGATTAAAACAGTAAAGTTTAGCAAAAATATTTGAAAAACAAATTTTAAAATTGTTCTTATTTCTAGCATAAATAATAAAGTATTTCCTTAATATATTGACTGACAAAAGCCGCAAATAAATTGTATATCAAAAAATGTTTTTGTTATATTCTTATCTGCTTTCTTCCTCGGCTTGTATTAACTTTGATAGAGGAAAATAACAAATTCCCTAAATAAAAGAAAACAAAAACAGTAAAATATTTAGGTATATTATTTTTTTATTATTTTCAATTTTAAAATTCTCTGTAGTTTTTTAGAGCTTCATTTTGCCGCAAATGCTTAAACCACCTACTATATAAAAATTTGGTCAAGTTGTCTAAATAAATTACTTTGAACGTGGACAAACAAGGCATGTGACCGCACGTGCTTCCCGGGAAGGCTTGTAAAATGTACAACCTGTATAAATATTTGTGATAAATATATATAAAAGTTTCAAAATAAATCAAGGAAAAACATTGAAAAATATTTCTAAGATTTTAAGATTATCAAATATCTTATTTGGACAATAACAACCTAAATGAAATAAATTTTCAGGATATTTTAGGACATATTTTGAAATCCATAACTTTCCAGGATAGCTGGGAACCCTAACAACTTATCACATAAAATCATATTGTTAGCATGGTTAATTTTTTATAC